GTCATAGCTAAGACAATGTATGTATATACTTGTCATTGAATTTTTTTTCTGTTCTTATTGGATTTTTTATGTTTGATATATTTTTTTTTTCAGACATACTTTTTATGTTTGATATATTTTTTTTTTCAGACATATTTTTTATGTTTGATATATTTTTTTTTTCAGACATACACTTCAATATTTAATGAAGATCATCATTATCGTCAATTGTATCATCCAACAGATTATCAGAGTACAGATGATACTACTACTACATCATCATCTACCAGTACACCAACAGGTCCTGTTACAACCAACACTACAGCTTCTAATTTACATACCATTACAGAGGAGTCTTCTTCTACATCAACAAATAAAACTCTATCACAAACTTCTCCACCACAAGCTAAATTCTATCTTTAACTCTTTCTATATATCGGTATAAATGGACTAGTGTCAAGATGATAAAGTTTTTACCAATTTAGACACTTAGACTGTAGGTAACTATTTGTTGGAAGTTGTGTCTGATTGGGCCCAGAAGTGATATGAATTTGTCTAGTCTGTAGTAGAATAAGGAACATATCCTATTAGTTTAGTTTAAATAAAAGATTTGCATAAAAATAAAAAAATTTTTTTAGGGATTTTAATGTTTTAAGATGGTATTTCACAAATGATTTTATTATATACATGAAGTATTTAATTTCTTGTTTTAAATATCAAGTTTTCACTTTTCTCTTTTATAATAAGTTTTATTCACTATTTGTTATATTTAATTTTTAATTTACTGACATTTTGATATCATTATAACTTATAAGGGATATTTTATAGAAAATATAATTTGCTCACATAAATTGAATGTATGAAATCTCAACAAAATAACGCTTCAAATTTCTTAATGTCTGAATCAAAATCAATACAATATATTTACTCTGAAGGTCTTTAAGTAGGTTTAGAAACTTGTTTAGAAATTTTAATATTTGTTTTCTTTTTGTATAAAGTTTTTGCAAATGTTTTGCATTTATGCTTAATATTTAATATTTAGTGGCCATTCCAGTATACAAACATTTTATGTTTACATCCATAATCATCGATTTTGGCAATATCCTTGTCACAGTAATATTATAATGTTCATAGATCTTTTTCCTTTATTTTTGTTAAATTTTAATAAAATGATTAATGAATTATGTATTTGTTTTCTATTCTATTTAAGATCTTATCCTATGATGTGTTTGTGAGTACTTTGTAAGGATTATAAGTAATTATTACACTACAGTTATATACTAGGTCCTTGTGATATCACCAGCTGATTTGGAATGCAATGGGACAGAAGGAATGGTTGTTCAATCAATTGAGACATTGACAATTAAATGTCATAATCAGAGTTTGCATTATGATTTTTTCACCATCAAATTATATTGATATAATTAGAATACATGTTTACAATTTATTCAGTTCAGCTCAGGATTGCAATTTCAAAAATGAACTATGTATTCAATCACATGCAATCTATGGATTCCATTTCATCCAAAAGTATTTACTGAAGAGACTCTTTCTATTTTAATATATATCAATATTAAATTTCTTTCAATTGCACCTAATGCTACTTTGAGCACGTATGTACAGCTTCAATCTGTATCCATTCTAGTTAGTTAGTAAGTCTGTTACATGAAGTGAATGAAATAACTGTACTAGTACGTAATATTCTCTCCTAGACAAGCTATAGATACAATTATCAGCTCAAATACACAATAGTTTATGTTTAGGCGACATACCATTTACTTTCTGAAATAATAGATAATTATATACAATTAGAAAGATTCATAGCAAAATATGGCTAGTATACCAATAGAAATGAAATGAGGATGGGGAAAATGTCTTACAGTGTGAAATGAGGGAAATTTTAAATAATGGATCTCACACAGCCTCTGTTTATTGTCCCATCTGAGCGTGAACGGGCAACTGTGAATGGTATATTAATAAAGAAGTACACATTTTCATGATAAAGACTAGAAAGTATTCAGGTACTTTTACTAATTGGTTCCTGTGGTTAGGAGTTAAATTAAAATTAACAAAATGAGAAGTCTTTCAACATACCATACTGGAAGCAAAAGGACCTATTGTACTACTATATCTTCTCATAGCTTCTTGTATATCTGATGGGGTAATCACAAGATCTCCTTGTGATTCAATATTCATAATCTGACCACTCTAACATTATAGAAAAATAAACAACATTGCATTATTTTAAGAATAGGGTATAACGGGGCAGAAGGTTTTTATATTATTCTAAATGTGCATCTCAAGAAATTTTAATTCAATAACTCAAAGGAAAGTGTTATATCTTATGAATTTGCACAGGCTCATTTGTTTGGGAAACATTAAATATTAATGGAATAATGGGACGTGACTTTTTTCAACAAGACTCGTTCTGTTCATCAAGTAGAGACCAGTGAGCGAGACTTACTATTAGTTAAAATTTTGTAATTTTGCTAATTGACCATGGATTCTCTTCATTATCTAAGTAATGCTTATGCCACATGCTACAGAGTTCCTTGAGTCAGAGTTATTTAGTGATGTTATATACAATTGACTAATTTACAATACAGGATATAAGACAAAATGCATCACTCAAAACACAAAATATCTTAACGTCCATCAGCGTCAACAGGAGTTCTATTTCATCAATACCACCAAGTTTCATAAACATAACATTCCTTGCCAGAACGGTGAGATGATGTCAGAAATAAATAAAAATAAAAGGAAAAAAAAGGTAAATCTTATCCAAATCATAATTAAATTCAAACATACACTCATCAGCAATACAAAATTTTCATATTAGTCTAAGTATTGTGATACGTGGAATATGCCTTGTTATCACTCACTATTTTGGTCTCTTTGTTACGCCATCTCCAACCTCAAATTTTCGTCAACAAGGGGTGCGCATTATATACGGGTAAATAGATTTTTCTAGATTTTGATGGGGTAAGGAAGGTGTGTGGTAATACACGCTTGCGCATTACATTCGATAATAAACTCTGAAACCGTTCATCCGACTATTACCTATTTCAAACTTGACCGAGATCTCATCAATATATACATGCATACCAAGTTTCATAAAACTGTAGTCTCTATTGTGCCTACAAAAAATGTGAACGGACTGACCGACGGACGGACAGGAGTGACTGCAATCTACATTTCCATGTTTGCATATAAAAATGGGGTTCTAACATTAAATTTAACTTCATATGAAGTCACTTCTGAAATCATACCAAGTCGTCTATTTATTTGAAGAATAAAACTCTTTAAGTAATTATGTTCAGTACAGATTCTCAAATATAGAGGAACTTCTGTTGAAGCATGAATATACAATTTACCTTTCTTCGTTTTTTAGACTTAGATTTGGTAGAAGAGTTGGTGGATGGTGTTGAAGTAGTATTGGTTGTAGTTAATGATGGTGGTAAAGTATTAGACTGTATTGATGGAGTAGAGGGGGTAGAAGGAGGACTCACATGCTGAAATTTAGATATACAAGTAACATTAATATTGGCAATATAACTCAAAATATACCATAACTTGTTAAAGAAAAATACATTTCAAATGTATAATGGCAGAGGAATATATCTTCAATTTGAGTTTCTAGTGCTAAAATATCTTTTATTTACTTGAAAAAACTTAGATACATTTATCTCATCATTCCTTCTGTATCACTAGTAGCAGAAACTAATCATTAATTGAAGTCAATATAATATGACATATCCACATTTAAAAGTGATACTACGTCTTAGAATGAATACAAAATTTAATTCTCAAGAATGGTCAATATGAGTATATATTCATCAGTGAACTTACCTGGTGTCATAAAGTTACAACGGAATCCCTGTAAAATCCAGAAAATTGGAAATTCATAAAACTTAGTAATCATTGAAAAACACTTAATCACAATATTAAGCGTTTTTCAATAGTTAATTGCATTTTGTTAAGTTTAAGTTGTTTGGATTTATCGGATTATATATGGATCCTGTTATGTTATTTATGACACCAGGTATATATACTGATGAATATATGCTCTTATTGGCCATGTTTATTCTAAGACGTAGTATCCCTTTAATGTATCAAAAGTTGATGAAATCTAGAAGAGATTAAAATGACAACATACAGCTGATGTTGGTGATCCTAATACACCTAATGTAGATGTTTTATTAGTTCCAGTAAATAAATCTCCTGCATTATGGTAATTCTGACATAACTGAGGTGTATTTTTTATCATAGGATCATTTATACAACTTCTCATATCTTGTTTCACTAATAAAGCTAAGTCTACTATCTACAATAATTATATAAGTCAATTAAATATTCATTGAGGAATCAAAAATATATCTTTGAAATGTCATATTTTGAATCTTTTATAATTTCTCAGGTTTTAGTTTTTACAGTACTATTCTTGTTGTCATCTATTTTTGGAGTTTGCAGGAGAAATGTAGTTTCATGATCCATTTAGAAAGACAAATTTTTATGTCTTTTGCAGAAAAAGGTTTTAAAAAAGTGAAATGGACTGATTCTTAAAGATTATGATATGCTTATATTACATACCTCAGCTACCGTTTCATAAGCTAGATAACTGACTACTTCTAGAGCATGTAAATTAGGTTTAATATCTAAATTAATACCAGCCATAATCCATTCCTTAAATCTTTGAAATTTATATTTTTTACCTGCAATTATAAACATAAAACAGGTTAATTTTCATTTTGTGGACAATCTTTCTCATTCTTTACATCTTTCCTTAACTGAAAAGGCACATACACACTTTTAAATCACAAAATGCTTTAAACTGCATAAAATAACTTACTAAAACCAGCCTGTCTTGCTTCACAAAACTCTGTATAACTTTTTGTATCCAGGTTACGACTCTGTAATTCTGCTCTCTGTAAAACAAAATTCAATTTTTATAAATGAAAATATGTATAAATATAGTGCTGTTCATGGGCAGACATTTTAGAAAATAATTCTTATTGTTACTAGCTAAAGATATCTATTTTTGACCTTTTATTAAATTACCCATATCAATTTACAGTAGATATAATGCTATACAGGTATTTTTTTAGAGCCAGAAAAGAAGCAAGATCATGAGAAAAAAATAATAAATTCATAAAAATTCTGTCTATAATTTTCATTTTCATCACTCCTTTTGTGATTTCAGATTATATTTTTCTTACCATCAATCGTTCATGCTTTATTTCATCGACAGATTCATCATCAAATAAAGCTACTAATTCTCCTACAATGCAATTATAAATGTAATCAACACCAAATAATTGATATTGTCAATAATGCTAAGATATTGCTAGCCTAACTTTGTTTTAATAATAATCATATATTCAATATGACATGCATGAAGAATCATTAATATGAAAAGGTGCCAGGTGCTAACATTAAAATCAGACAAGTTTTACATCATATTTATCTGTACTTTAGCTTGACAAAGACTGGTAATAGTATAGACAAATCAATTTTACCGACATTTAAGTAGCAATAAAGCAAATTACCTTTTATTTGCCAACATTCTACTATCAAATGTATATTTACACTTTGTTCAATATAATTTCCAACACAGACAGTTCTTGTTTTTAGATACAGTTTTATTCTCCATGTCTCTAAACTTTGATAACAATTTACAAGCTACAAACATTGAATATGTTTTATAGATTTTTTTACCTGTTTGATCAATAGAAGAAAGGAAATCATAACAAACTTTCCTTCGTTTATATGTTGGTACAGGCTGAGCTGGAGGCTTGTCACCTATAATAAAAAGAATATAGCAGGTCTAGTTGAAAAAAGATATCTGTGTAAATCTACATCAAAATATAAACGCTCAACTTATACCTGATTATAATCAGAACAATGTAAATTTTTTGCCACAATTTAAGTTTAAACAATTTCAAGCTGATATTATATTAAGGTAGTTTGCCAGACAAGATAATATTTGCCCATTTGATTTTTAAATAAAAATATATGGTATTTCAGTAATAACCACCAGTAAGAATATTTAACCTTAAGTCATACACTTTTTGGAACTTTTTGAGGTGATACTGAACAATATTACCAAGTTTTGTCAAAATTGCTTTTGATTTTTAAAAGGGTTCATTAATGAGTGATAATAAACAATTTCAACAAGTTTCGTCTACTTCCGTCAAGAATTGTGCCTTCTAGAGTGTTTACATGCTCAAAATTGAACGCGTTTTCAAGATCAAGAGCATACTAAATATTTTTCGATTTTTCTGATTTTTGTGTTTATGAGCTAACAATTGAATGCGTTTTTCAAGAACAATGGCAATAATTCATAAATACTAAATATTACTCGATTTTCTGATTTTCAATAGGGTTCATCCTTGGGTGATTTAAAACACTTACACTAAGTTTCATCGAAATCTGTCAAGAATTGTGCCTTTTAGAGTGTTCAGGGTTCATCTTTGGGTTCATCCATGAGTGATAATAAAGAATTTCAATAAGTTTCCTCTAATTCCTTGCAGAATGGTGCCTTCTAGAGTGTTTACATGCTAAAAATTGAACGCGTTTTTCAAGAACAAGAGCATACTAATTTCTTTTCGATTTTTCAATAGGGTTCATTGGTTGAATACAAACACTCACACCAAGTTTCATCAAGGCCTGTCAAGAATTGTGCCTTGCAGAGCATTTACAAGCAAGTGTGGTTGGATGGCTGGTCGTTTCATGTAGGCGTATAAATGTGTTAATAATAACCTAGCAGTGAAAACAGCCTAAACTTATATGCTACATATGCTTATATGTTACAGTTTAATTGCAGTAGACTGAAATTGAATGTGGATGTTAATTCAGCATTCCACATAAGAATTTAGACAAGAAAGTTCTTACTATTTTCACCAATTTCTTCATTATCCTCTGTTCCTACAGATCTTAATAACATTGCTTTAGTATCTTTAACTTTCATATATCTTAATAATCTTCTTAACTTGACCTGGAATGAGTATAACTGGTGAGACAGCAATTTCCTTTATTGTTAATTTTCTCTTTAAAAAAATATAGTCAAAATAGAAAACTTTAGGCATCTAGTAATAGTTCTATGTTAAGAATCTACCATATAAGAAGGTTCTCATATACACACGATAACTCAAGATCTTACTCTCTACATGATCGGTAAATATTTTATCTTAGGCCAGTACCTTTGGAAGTTCAAGCATGAATGTACAGACTTCTACAGCCATTCAAAGAAGCAAGACTGAGACCAATATCAATTTTGCATATCATAAAGGGCATTTTAACATAAATGAGTGGAATGTACCTTGTCTTTTCTCATTAAGAATACAATGTCTTCTATACTTATAAAGCGACTATTTCTGGTAGAAGCTACTTCTGAAGCCTGATGTAACTAACAATAAAAGTATTTACATTACTGATTATTTCAAACATGTGTTTCCATTCATAATAAAAAATGTAATAATCTAAAGCGTGCGAGATTTAATATTATAAGTGGTGTGAAAATACTGAAATATTGCACAATATAGTTACACAATAATAATCAAAATAAAGAGTTTAGAAAATGGAGTTTTTAAGTAGTTTGAAACTTACAAGATTAACTAACTGTTGATGAACAATGTCTTGTATCAAACTTGCTGAATCATGTAATGGCTTTTTGCAGTCTCCAAATCCATACCTAAATTCAAAATAAAGTAAAAACATAAACATTTATTTGCATAACAATTTATCAATTTTGTAGATCATTCAAGATTTCAATAAAATGAAACACACAAATTTGAATTCTAAACAGATTCTCCACTCATTTATATCATAGTCGACCGAATAGTAAGAATAAGGTGAAGGTTATCTGCTGAGAGGAATAAAAACCTAAAAAATCAAAGACAACTTATTTATTCACTTAATAGATGTAAGCTTACAAAAGATTTTTTCTAAAACTTTATCCAAATTGCGCAATTCCATTTAATTAGCCTCATATACTCAGGTATGCCAATATTTTCTTTTGCAGGTGTCTAAGCAAAATAGGGCATGCCACTGGTTCCACTCTGAGATTATTTTGGTAGATACATTCACATGTAACTTCTGGAGGTTGTTAAGTCTTAATCTAAACAACAGTGATGCATACTGTCATGTCACATGTGGAACAGTATCTAGCAACTAGTTATACATTCAAAGACAAGACCATCAATTGACATGGAAAAAGTAGTGAAAGATAGCTTGCCAGGCAAGGTAAAATACGCCTACTGGCAGCTGTCAGAAATGATTAAACAGTCTTAAGTGACTAGAGTATGAATTTTAAAGTTTTTATTAAAGTAATTTTAATCGTTTGAATTCATTGATACATATAATTACTGCCAGTTATTTATACTGGGAAATTCCACCAAATTTTTAAAAATCAATATCAATAACCGAAATACATCAAATTATCACATCAATATACATGATCACACCATGTTTCATTAAAATCAATTGAAAACTGTAGTCTCTTATGTGTTCACAAACAAATTTTGACGCGTTGTTCCTAAGTCAAGGGCAATAACTCAAAGATCGTTCAGTGAAATATCAAATTCGAACTTTCGTCCAAGATCTCATCAATATAAATGATCACACCAAATTTCATAAAAAAACTGTTGAAAACTGTAGTCGCTATTGTGTTCACAAACAAATTTTGATGCATGTTTCCTAAATCAAGGGCAATAACTCAAAAACTGTTCATCGAAAGATCATCAAATTCAAACTTGACCAAGATCTCATCAATAGGATGATCACACCAAATTTCATTAAAAACAGTTGAAAACTGTAGTCTCTATTGTATTCACAAACAAATTTTGATGCATGTTTCCTAAGTCAAGGGCAATAACTCAAAAACCGTTCAACGAAAGATCGGCAAATTTGAACTTGTCCAAGATCTCATCTATATAAATGATCACACCAAATTTTATTAAAATCAGTTGAAAACTGTAGTCTCTATCGTGTTCACAAACAAATTTTGACCCGTTTTCCTAAGTCAAGGGCAATAACTAAAAAACCGTTCATTGAAAGATCGTCATATTCGATCTTGACCATGCTCTCATCTATATAAATGACCACATCAAATCTATTGTGTTCACAAGAAATGTGGACGGACCGACGGACCGGGGCGGCGGCAATATACGTCCACATTTCCATGGGGGCGTATAATAAAACTCTATTCACTTCCTTATTAGCTGATAAGACCTGTATGGATAAACTGAAATCTAAGCAATATTCAACATTAACTTGATAGCAGTGGCTTAACAGGCGTATAGAAAGTATGTATCACATTACTTTGTGGCCTGTAAAACACCTCTATCTTAGCTTCTTTATACACTAAATAAACCAAAATTGAAACCAAGACTGAAATCTTAGAGTAATAACATCCTAAATCTTAGTGTCTTGTGGGTGGCAATTATAGATTTTACATTAGATACACTCATTATGTTAAAAGATCTTAGTAAAGGTTCTTATAAAACATAAGGAGCAATGGCCTTGGTATGATTGCATGATCTATTGCATTAATTGGAGAAAAAAAAAGAGTATAAAGTATTACCTTCAGATCTAATTAGCCACTGACAAGAGTTGATAGACCTAACTAAAGAGATAAATTAGAATATATGTCATGAAAAAGAGTCTGTGTCATTGTGTCATATATTATTCTACAGGTTCTACAGGTTCTAGAAGTCTCTGAGTGTCGTGGCAGTCATGAAGATTATATTGTGCCACCCACATAGCTTTAACTGACAGAGAATTTGTGTTATGATTGCGAGGTATATAATTCATTATTAACAATCCTTCAATTCATGTTAATATTTCACAATTTTCTCCTACATCAAAACCCGGGTGTCAACTGTATAGATTTCTAAATGACAATAGATAATAACTATGTACAGTAGCAGACTTTCTACAGCTAGCATCAGGTAAGTTACATCTAACATTGATTTCAATTATTTAACAGGTGTCATTATGGTCATCATATAAAAGTAACAGAAGATGAAAGTGCATACTTTAACTGTCCATATTGATCGTGATTGATTTTAATGCACAGAAATTTGATTAAAGCTTTACTCGGAATCAACAATTTGATATTTTTATTACTTTAGGCCTACTGCTGTTGAGTTGGCATAGAGAAAGAACTAAATATTATGATTACATGTTTAGACATTAGTTCTTTCCAAGGAATCCTTTTCATTTATTAATCTTAATGAAAATTCATGTGTTGTGGTCTCTATGCATAATTAGCGTTGTTATCCTCAAATCCTATCTCAAAATACAAATGAAGAGAAAGAAAAATGTTATACTTTAATTGAAACTTAAATGATTAAAAAGGATAGTATTGTTTTGATTAGTGGCATTATCAAGAAAATATATAACTGATAGTCATAGCATAAAGATTGAAAGTTTTGTATGCCCCTCGTAAGGAACAAATTTTGAATAAATTTTAAAATCACTCTTAACTTTTTTTTACTATATTTTATATACATTTTTTATCATGCACCTTTTACATGTGTTCGTGTACATTATACGAAACAGAGCAAAGGCATGTAATGAGCTGTCTCATTTCAAAGTTAATTTTATGGACAATGTACATACTGATAATCAACACAACATATTACCGACGACAAAAAATAAATGACATACAATAAATATACGTAGAAAGATAAATATAATGATAAAATTATGTTGTAGCATTGAATGATCCACTCTGATCAAATATGAAATAATAAAGAAAAGGTTTATCTATAAGATTAGCCATTTGATGAAATCCAGTCAAGTCAATAATCAATTATTGTCTAATTGTTTATTATAATGATATCAGGAATTCTAATCAGTAAACCTAACAATATAAATATAGAGTAATGATACTAGAAACCTACTAGTAACATACCATGTTCAAGTTGTAATAATTAAATCACGATTCCGGTATCGCACAATTTGATTAGATAACAGTGCTCACATGCATTTGGTTCATATTTGTGTAAACAGAATGTAAAATATAAGCTCAACCCCTTAAACAGACTTCCTTAAATAATCAAATTAATTTTTGTTTAAAGATGGGTTCTCTTATTTTCATTTATGAAAATGCTAATACTTATATGAATAGAAAGTAGAGGTGTTTCTTATGACTTGGAAAATATCAGATTGTCTCACATGTCCACAATTAATTCACAATTAGCTAAATTAGAAGTGAATTACTAGCAGAATTCTAATGACTGACTGATCAAGTAAGGTCTTTTGTTTAACCAGACTGTACATACATGAACATGTATGATTGGTTAAAACTCTTAATCATATGCAATAAGAACATAATGGTATGATAGAAATAGATGGTAATTCATTAGAAACACCAATAAATCAAATAGTTTGCTTAATTTAACACTAAAAAATAAGGAAACCCATCTTTACCAGTATTTGCTTTTCAATTTGAGATCAAAAGCATGTTAGAAATTTCAGTTGGTCAGAATTAGCTTTTTATGTTCAGAGCACAGAGATCTATATTCCAAGACAGCAATATCACTTTCATTAACTGTCTTTTCTCGATATATATCACTTACCAAAATTATTTCTGGTAAAATCCAGTCAAGTCAAGACCAATAAGTACTTGGATTTGTCATTCATTGCGTTCAGTCATTCTTTGAGCCTGTTTTTATTTTTAGCTGCCTAACTTGCACCTTCTCCGGAGGTGGCCTAAACCTGGCTCCAACTTTAGTCATATGAGTGTTAAGGCAGCAGAACTATCAACCGTTCTTTGAATCTGGTTTAATGATTTTTGGTAAATGTTCAGATGGACAGTTACATGAAAGACATGGTATCAAGAGCAAAAGCCTTATCAGGAAATGCATCCTATCTATTTAGTGAACATAAATCTTAGATCAAAACAATGTATGTAACAAAATGAAATATGTGATTTCGACATGATTTTACAATATACATTGTAAGGAAAAAAACTAATGAATTAAATAAAGTTCTTGTATTGTACAGTCCTCTACAAATTTACTTGTTTCATGCAAACAAAAAAGAATCAGCTTACTGACATATTGTGATAAAAGTTGTTAAATGAATGTACCATCTTGAATCATGTGTATGTTAAATGCCAACTTGCGCAATATTAAAATTTCTATGAAAAACTAATTGGTATCTGTAGGTTTGAATAAAATCGTTTCAAAATAAAATGACAACACAATAACAAACTAATAGATCATTGAAATACTAGCATTAGTTCATCTAAAAATATCTCCATTGATACTACACTTCAAACTGCTGTACCAAAAAAAAAACATAAAAAATAACACAAAAACAACAAATATCTTTCTAAAGAATTCTAATCAATTCTTATGGTATCCTGAAACTATTGATTTTATTACTGACACAAATAAATACTGTTATAACTCAAAATAATTTGATAACAATATTTGTGTGTCACATGCTAGAAAACATACTAAATCTTAAATATATTTCTAGGATATTAACGCTGTCTTCATTAAACAAAACTTAAATTAGTCTGTGGTATTCAATTTTCTAAAGCTTGTAATAAAGAGATAGAAAACCCGGAGACAAATAAGGGTAGACAACTCTTTTACAACTAATCCCAAATTTAAACTCTGTTCTGATGGTCAATCCCCTGACATTCTAGTAATATTTGAAGCATGAATTTATAGAAAAGGTTGAAAAAATATGTATCTACTCCC